CCTTCTTCAGAGCCGCTTTTTCGTGACTTCCAATGAGGAAGTTTAGAACAGCTGATTATAGTCGCATGTGGTTGACGACTCATTGGAAGTCACGAAAAAGCGGCTCTGAAGAAGGCGATACTGCCGAAACGTCAGCTAGCGTTGTATTGTATTGTGTTTTTATGAAAGTAAATGTATGCTGTTTAAAAACCTCACGATTGCTGAACAAGAGAACTGCATAGAATCTGAACACTACGTTTAGCGCAATGGTAAAAAGTCTCTTTAACACACACTTTGTCGTTGAATCGAACACATGCCCTAAGAACTATTAAAGAACCAACACTACCTCACCTCTACCCCGCTTTCCTCCTTTCGCTTTGTCGTTCTGACCAAACATATTTCCACCGGTGGAACAGGTTTAACGCTTTAGAGAGAAATATGAACAGAAGCCTCTAACCGACTTAATCAACACCGTTATTTCGCTTTCAATTATTACTGATTATTACTGAGCTCATTAGGACGCGTCTGACGCAGTGGTCGGAGCCGCCCTTCAACACACACACGGGATCGGTCCCCGCGCCCATTGTCCACCAAGCCTTCCATCCATCTGGGGTCGGCAAATTGGTAGCAGACTTGTCTGGGAGGACAGCAGCACTGGCTCGATGCATCGGTAGGCCACCGCGAGTAAAGGCCAGATATGCATTCTTCCACTTCCATCGGTTCTTAATGAAGTCGAATGCATGGCTCAGGGATTGATCTACGCCGAAAGCTTTATCCCTTTTATCCTAACGGGTTCACCGATAAGTAATCCGCACTAAAATCACAAACCGTAGGCCTAATGCATAAATCGATTGACAAATGAAGCTTATGTGTGAGAATTATATGTTTAATAAATACTCCTCACCTGTAGGCAGTTACTGCAATTCCCTTTTCCTTGCAAAACACTCTCAACTTTTTTTGCTGGAAGTATGGATGAATCTCGATCTGAATGATACTAAATCGCATTGCAGAAAGATTTAGTCGTGAGGATAGTCTCATTGGCCAACTACGCATGAACGCTGGATAGAACGGATCCGATGTGTTCACTGATCTTCAAAACATTGTTTTTAACACGACATGCAATTGAAAAGTTTGCACCATAGGTGATTTTCGTGACCTTATAATCTTTGGCGTGTCTACGGTTCGAAATTACCAAACAACCAAACACTATGCTGGAGTACACGTGACTTTTCGTGATTCATGAAGAATAGCCATTCAAGTAAAAAGTAGGCGGCGCTACATAATTTATTATTTCCCTGGACTTTTGCAGATTTTGCTTGAGTAAGCATGAAAAGAGGAAGCGGGTAGCGCAGTGATCACGATTCCTCTGCAATGCACTCTTGGTCGATCGTCGTTCGACACCATGTTCCAAGCGCACTAACGCTTTCGTTCCTCTCGATTCAATAGATTCCTACTGAACTATTCTCTAATGATAAAACATCGCATTCACGCATAAATAAACCATTCTAAGTGATTGCACAGGCCGGGTATCTATTCAACCATTTCTTGTTTGCCACGAATGAAGTCGGATGCATGTTACAGCCCTCAGAGTTTGATTAGCACCGAACGCCTTATCCTTTTTCCTTTACTCTTATCCATCAGAAACTGAACAGGCGATTATAACGCAAAGAAAATCAGTAATTTTCAATATAACTCGATAGAAGACGAAGAAACCACATGGAGAAGACGAAAAACCGTGGATAATCCGCTCTGATGAAGAACGTCGAAGCATTAGTAGAATAAACATCGTTATCGGCGTCGCGTTAGCTTAACAATCCAAGAAGATATAACCACAATGACGTTGAGATCGATAGACCTAGCTGAGAGACAGGCGAAACGAAGGGCCCGCATGGTGTGTTGGTGAACGCATTACTACCCGGAAAGGACAATAGCGTCTTCGTTTCCCACTGCAGACATCTGCGGTATGGAGTTTTGCAAATATCTCAGCGTCATTGTGGTTGTACCTCGAATCATACCCTGCCGTTAAAAATTATAGCAAACAAAAAATAAAAAGTTAGCATCAAGAAGATGTAGTCTAAATCTTTCGGCACCTGTAGAACAGCTGGTTTTATAGTGCTGTTGGCGATTACTCGCTCGATTTGCTTGTGGTTGAAATTCGAAATGCCAATACTACGAATCTGAAAACACACATTTTTCATCCTTTGCTCAAAAAAAGTTGTTGGAGACATCCAAAAAACTTTTTTTTGACCTTTATTATTTTAGTGGAACTTTTTGGTCACAAAATAAATGTTACCTAGGTTGTACGTTTTCTAACCTTTCGCATAACTTTTTTCTCAATGGAATTCATTTTCTGATTCCGTGTGAACGCTGTGCGATTGGTCTCCACGTGACATATTTAGTGGAAGACTCATAGAAAGCGGTGAGTGTGCAAAGACTCTGTGTTCAATGTGATTGAAATTTTGGTTCAGCATTTTCTCTCTTTGGTTATGGAGGTGTTTGGCCATGTAGATTGGAGTCAACATGACCTTTCCAGACTCTGAGGAAGGCGAAATCCGTTGAAACATCAGCTCGTACGTAAATAAGGAAATAAACTAACACCTCGTGTTTGCTGAACAGAAGTAGAAAGGAATCCATTTTATCCAATGAAATTTTACTCTGTTAAGTGTTTTCTGTAGAATCGTTTTTATTAGTATTACCGTTTCTGTTATTGTTACTACTGTTGCATTGTTATTAATAGTACCGTAATAGGCACATATGGCACAGTGGTCGGAGGCGCCCTGCAACAAACGCGTGGAATCGATGCCCGCGCCGATGGTTCACCAAGCGTTCTCTTTCTCCGGGGTCGGTTAATTGGTACCAGAGTTGTCTGGGAGGATAGGAGCACTGGCTCGATACATCGGTAGGCCACCGCGAGTCATTGTGAATGTCAGATATGCATTTAATCACCTCCAAACGATACTTAATGAAGTGGAATGCATGGCGCATCCCTCAGAGATTGATCAACGCTGAGAACTTTATACTTTTTTACTACTGTAATTCTCTACTTTCTTCGCCTACCTTTCCCTCTTTGACAAATTCCTCCAGAACCTTCCATGTCGTCAAGTAATCCTCGTTAGAGTATCTCATCTTATAACCGTCCGATCTCTAGAAATCCAGAACATCTAGGAAGATGAATAGCAGTTTTCTTAAAACTATTTTCTTCATTTAAAACTTTATTTTGTCAGTTTTCAATTGTTAACTGAATAATCCGAGGTCAAATAAAAGTACGTTTTAAAAAAATTGTTGTTTATAAAATAAATACAAACCTTTGGAAATGGGCCACCACCTTCTTCATAGCCGACTGGCCAATGAATAAGCATTAAGTCAACGTACTTCAACTGTAGTTGATCAAGGATTTCAAGTACATTCTTCTAAAACCGTAAAAATTTCAAACAGCAGAAAACTTTGAGTCAAGACGTCCATTAGTGCACATTAAGTGGAAATAGCTAGAAATGTGCAGAGAAACATTGTAAACTATCGTCAAACTGGCACAGAAATGAGCAACTTCTGTAGAAGACGGAAGTTTTTGTTTTGCGTTCATTTACTGCATAAAACAGCATTTATGTACACAAAGCCGCTTTTCAAATTCTACGATAACTAGCTCTAGAAGCCACCACGATGCTGAGGTAATCACAATCTTAACCCTTTTATTTACTGCAGGGTATGTTGCGAAATATAACTTCTATAATGCTGAGATATATTTATTTATGTGATCTTATAAACTGATCTTCTTAAGCTGACCCGAGGTTGGTACAGACCTTCGTTGTTGTTCTCGTTGTTTTTGATGTCACGTTTCGATGGCTGACGTTTCGGCGACTTCGCCTTCCTCAGAGCCTGGACGTACTTTATGTTCGAATACTTACTTCGAATACTGTTATTATTCGGTGGAAAAGAAGGTTAAAGTATTAATGAAGATCAAACTTTCAAATAGACGCCATATTGAACAGAAAGGCCACTCACCGTGAAGAAAAAAGCACTTATCAAAAATATGTATCGTACGGCTAAAAATGTGTGTACAGGAGAAGAGGAAAAGAAGGAATCGCAAAACCTGGCACGAAAAAATGCCATTTCTAATGGCTGCGAAGTAGAAGCCACTCGGTTTAGAGGAAAACGCTGGGTACTTTCCCAAAATAATATTCCAGACGAAAGTAGGATCCCTTTAAGCTGCCCTTCATATCAGATGAAGTAAGTCACGCCATTAAAAAGTGCTTAAGAAAAAGTGGTCTTGAAAATTATGTAACGATTGTTGACATCCCACCCAATACTCTACGCCGCCAGTTAGTTCAAAACCGTCTCTATTATCGTCTGTGCAGCTCAGAAAACTGTGTGATCTGTCCCAACGGGAGAGACGGGGATTGCATGAGTTTAGGTATAATATACTTGATCTCATGTAATGCATGCGGCGAGGAATATATAGGAGAAACGGGTAGACCACTTTGTGTCCGCATAAAAGAACATCTAGATGGAAAAGCTAAAATCCGTTTAAACACCCCTCTAGGTACGCATAGGGCACAAATGCACAACGGCGATGATTTTGAAGTGAATGTGCGGATCCTAGCGCAGGAATCAAAAACATCAACGCGCAAAACTCTTGAGGCGTTTTGGATAAATTTCAAAAATCCAAAGATGAACCGGAAGGACGAATGCCTCACAATCACGCGTGACCTGGCGCCCTATTTCAAAATGATATTTTGACCCCTGGGCGTGTCTTGCTCGCGACTCCACGTGAACTACGTGTGGGCCAGTCCCGCACGTAACATCACGGTGAGTGGCCTTTCTGTTCAATATGGCGTCTATTTGAGAGTTTGATCTTCATTAATACTTTAACCTTCTTTTCCACCGAATAATAAAAAGTATTCTAACATAAAGTACGTCCAGGCTCTGAGGAAGGCGAAGTCGCCGAAACGTCAACCATCGATCAATAACATCAAGAACAACGACAACGACAACGAAGATCCGTGCCAACCTCGCATCAGGTTAAGAAGATCAGCTGATAAGATCACATAAATAAATATATCAACTATCTATGCCGAGGTTTATAGAAAGTCGGTCTTTCGAATGCTGAGATATTTGCAAAACTCCGGACCGCAGGTGTCAGCGGTGGAGAGCGAACGCGCTATTACCCTTTTCGGGTGATAACGTGCTCCATCCCTTTATCGTTAGCGAGTGATTGGTGATGACACTGCTTGATAGAAAACTAGTTGAGAGAAATGCGAAACGAAGGATCCATGCGGTGCAGTGGTGAACACGTTAGCCCGGAAAGGATAATAGCAGGTTCAGTTCCCACCACAGATACCTGCGGTACGGAGTTTTGCAACTATCTCAGCATCATTGTTGTTGCATTCCACATAATTCCCTGCCTTGAAAATTGTAGTAGGAAATAATTAAAAGTTAAATAGTTCTAGCATCGAAAAAGAAGCTTCACAGTTAAGAAAAACCACATGCATACCTTACAAGCGGGAGCTGAGTGAAACGTGTTCCACACTTTCGACGTTATGAAGATGTTTTCTCTCTGTAATTATTTATATTACTTGAATGTCACTCAGTAATCCAGCATGGCTTGACTCAGAGGTAAGTTTTATACGAGGATATAGTGAAATATACTACTTCATGTTTGAAAAAGAGGGACAAGCATATCGATCATGCGCTTTCCCTCTGTAATTATCATAGGTGAATGATACTTAGCAATCCACAGTACCTGGTTTAGAGATAACCCGGACAAACTAAGAGTACTATTTTAATTTATTATTTACTGCCTACTCTTGTTTACGGCACGGTATATATTGCGAAATATAACTATAATGATGCTGAGATATTTGCAAAACTCCGGACCGCAGGTGTCTGCGGTGGGGAACGAACGCGCTATTGTCCTTTCCGGGAAGTAACGCGTTCACCACCACACCATGTGGGTCCTTCGTTGCGCGTGTCTCTCAGAAAGTTCTATCGATCTTTTACCATCAGGAATCACCCAGACAGAGTAGGCAGTAAATAATAAGTTAAAATTGTGATTGTAATTGCACCTTCAGCTTAACTGGATTCGTTGCCAATTTGGGCTCCCCAGATCAATCCCGTTGACGGGTGATTGCTGATGGCAAAAGATCGATAGAACTAGCTGAGAGACAGGCGAAACGAAGGACTCGCATGGTGTGGTGGTGAACGCGTTACTCCCCGGAAAGGACAATAGTGCGTTCCTTCTCCACCGCAGACACCTGCGGTCCGGAGTTTTGCAAATATCTCAGCATCAATGTTATACCTTTTTATTTTCTGCCTATTATAATTTCGCAGCAGGGTACTAAGCGAAATACAACCACAACGTTGCTGAGATATTTGCAAAAGTCTGGACCGCAGGTGTCTATGGTGGGGAACGAACGCGCTATTGTCCTTTCCGGGGAGTAACGCGTTCACCACCACACCATGCGGGTCCTTGTTTCGTACGTCTCTCATCTATTTCTATTGATCTTTGCCACAGCAATCACCCGTCAGCGGGATTGATCTTGGGCGCCCAAATAATTTTATTGTTTTTGGCTAAGGAGTACCCACTTATAGCATACCAATGTTTTCGGATCTTTGTATACTCACTGGTGGATGAACGTGTTCTGTCAAAGTAAATGCGGAGCTTATTTATCAGACACGACAGCATGTCTCGCCTTCTTCCCTGTCACTTTTCGTCGAATCGAACATGAAAGGTATTACATGTAGTCATCCAAGCAACGAACGCATGCATAAATATGTCAGTCTGACAAAGCGGAGAGATTGGGATCCCGTTCAAGTGAACCCATGGTTACCTTTACTGAGATTTCACATGCTGTCCACCATAGGAAAAAAACATAGGTGAAAGATAGGAAAAGAAAGGGCATCGCATGGTGTGGTGGATAGCACCTGAGCTCCCGGTAAGGGTAATAGCGGGTTCGAACCGAACATATGGTTTTGAGTTCTGCACACATCTCAGCATCCCTATTGTGGTAGTTCATATCGTATCTTGCCTTTAAAAACGACCAAGTAACAAAAGAAAGTTAAATCTTTTATAATTCACTGCTTCTGTTAATGACAAACACGAGGTTGCTATTACAGCATTCATTGATGCAAAATAACTGACGTTTCGGCGGTTTCGCCCTCTTGAGAGCCTCGAAAGGTCAAATTCACATGCAATACACTCAGGCAAGCACTTTCGTAACCTTAGCAGGCAAAACTTAGCACATAAATTTTTATTTACATAATAAACCACTTCTCTTAAACACCCACTGTTTTGTTCATTGTAAATCCTCTGGTGCTTTAGTGGAAACCAGCCGCACAAAGTACTACATGGACGAAGAATGTGCCTGGCCCGCCTTAACGAATCAGCCTGAGGAATGGCGCTAGGTCAAGCGTGATCACAAGGCACCTTTCCCTTCGATTCATATCTGGATTTCTAGAATTGATTCACAACGCTTCACAATAGCGCGTTCGTTCCCCACCATAGACACCTGCGGTCCAGAGTTTTGCAAATATCTCGGCAACGTTGTGGTTGTATTTCGCTTAGTACCCTTCCGCGAAATTATAATAGGCAGAAAATAAAAAGGTATAACATTGTGATTTCAACTACAGCCGCAGTTTAATTGGGTTCTATGCCGATTTGGGCGCCCCAGATCAATCCCGCTGACGGGTGATTGCTGTGGCAAAGATCAAAGAAATAGCTGAGAGACGTGCGAAACAAAGGACCCGCATGGTGTGGTGGTGAACGCGTTACTCCCCGGAAAGGACAATAGCGCGTTCGTTCCCCACCATAGACACCTGCGGTCCAGAGTTTTGCAAATGTCTCAGCAACGTTGTGGTTGTATCTCAGCATCATTGTGGTTGTTTCACAAATAATACCCTGCCGTGAAAACTGTTAGAAGGCAGTAGATAAAAAGTCAACATTAAGAGTACTACACATCTACGTTAACTGTACTCATTGATTGTTGCAGCCACACGACCGAGGCGCATTGCCTGCACAACGTTGCCCTATATAACTGGATCTAAGAAGGGCTGGGGGCGGGTAGCATAGTGGCAGGGAAGCCGGTCATTACGAGCACGGAGCTGATTCGATCCTAACCCTGATCCGGGCTCACCAAGCCTCTCATCCCTTTGGGGTTGGGATATTGGCACCTGAATTCTCTGGGGAAAAATCACTGTCTGCAATCCAATTGGGAACGCTACAGCCCGGCTATATCAGGACTCCAGGGAGAATTGATTCCACGAGCATTCAACGACGTTTAAGATAAAAATAAAATCCTCAAGAAAAAGTTTAGGACATAAGTAAAAGTTGAAAGCCTTCGTCAGTAATGAATAAGAGAAAACGAATCCAATGTGAGAAGTGCTGGCATCCCCAGAGTATAAGTGAAAGTCGAGTTGTATAAAATATAGTGAAACAAAAATTGGATATTTTGGATCGGATATCCCATAACTGTTTTAAAAAATCCTTTTTAAAAGTGCATATATTTTTTAAAATATCCCATCAAACATGTCCACCTTCATAACTGTGAGTGAGAACAGACGATTTGAGGCCTCTGCCTCATGCTGCCGTTATAAGTACGATGAGAGTGTTCTGCATGTACACAATAATGACAACAATAGTGACAGTTTGCTATCAATAGTAATATCAATGGTAATAAGAGCAATTTACTTTGTGACCAGAGGAAAATAGTCGTTTGAGCGCCTCGCCGATCTCCACCTGATTACCATACACCCACGCACAGTCGATGTGGGTATAACCGGCACTTATAGCAGCCTCGACAGCTTTTCCTACCTGAAATACAATTTCATTGGTGGACATCCAACATGAGCTCTTCAGTCTTACAGTATTTCGTTTGTTCGGTAAGTATTTTCTTGGAAAAAAAAACATGCCATTTTGACTCCTGAGCGCACTGGAATTGAGCGTGCGATGCCGCTTAAAGCAATTCATACTGGTAAGTGATGTTCAAGCTTTCCAATATTCTTTGGAAAATTTTAAAATATTGGCAATGAAGAAAAAGCCTAAAGCATAAAAACGCCCGTGTTATACCAAAGTTACCAAAGTTTATACAGTGGCCAGTACAAGTCAGTTTTCAGTGATTTTTAGCTAATAGTCGTATGAATACGTAACCCAAGTAATCGTTCTGGGCTAAGTTCATCACAGGACGCGCTTAACTTCCTAATTTCATTGAACGCAGACAAATAGCTTACAAAAACTGTGGTTAAGAATGACAACAAAAACTGATAGAAAGAATGAAGGAAAAAAACGATAGCAATCGTTCGAAAAGATAAACGGTAGAATCGAAAGAGAATAATTTTGACGGACCTCTCCAGATTTACTCTGCCAAGTTCCAAGACCCACTAACGGTATTTCATATCCCGACAAAAGTTTTACTGTTGGCACCTTCATTCTCTGAAATATTCTGGTCGTGAAAATTAAGAAAATTTTGCTCCAACGCTTATATAAAACCTACAGATCTAGCATGGACAATGGCAAGAACACATTGCTGTCTCGAGTTAAAACAAAATTTAGGAAATCTTTCAAAAAATTTTTATGAACAAACACGAGATTATTAAAACAGTATTTATTCAGCAGCAGTTAAAGTTTCGGAGGATTTCGCCATGTTACGAACAGACTGTAATGCATTTACAGGATAAGAACAAAACGAGGAATCACTTAATCGGCCCGAAAATGGTCACTACTAACAGCTACGAAAGAGTAGCGGTTCGAAACAGGCTTGGAGAAAGTGCAAGCTGGCAAACGAAAAGTTTAACGGAAATAAAACCCCTTCAACCTGCACTCCATCTCCAACGAGGTAAGCATAAATCTAAGACGATCATTTAAGAGGGTCATTCTAGAGAAGTCGGTAGAAGCGAAACTGAAACATTATCCGACGTGAAATAAATATTGTATTTAACTAGAGTACGATATAATGGTCTAGCAGCTCGTAATTTTATACTTTGCAACAATTTTTTTTCAGAGAAGGAGCAGGCGAATCCGAAGAATCAGAATCAGAAATCCGAAGACTCGTTGATGACAAGGGCGAAACAAAGAATGCAGTGGAAGTTGGGAAATGCTTACCTGTGTGACAGCGAGTCATACAATTTATTCATATGTATATATATATATGCTTATATCGCCAACTGAAAGAATATATTTGCAAACCATTTCTATGGAATTGCGAACGCGTGGACGCAATCCTCTTCGCTTTCTAACTGAAGGTGGAAGACTTTCGAACTGAAGGTGGAAGAAGAAGAAGGATGAAAAATAAAGGATAAAGCTATCGGCGTTGATCAATCCCGTGCGCCATTCATTCGACTTCATCAGGTATCGTTGGAGGTGAATGAATGCATATCGATGTATCGAGCCAATGCTGCTATCCTCGCAGACAAGTCTGGTGTGAAATTGCCGGCCGACCCCGGAGGGATGGGATGCTTGATGGGCCATGGGCGTGGGGATCGATTCCACTTGTGTGTTGCAGTGGCGCCTCCAACCACTGTGTCACACGCGCCCTTCGTGGAAAACTTATGGACAAAAATTTCTGTAGAAGCTGCACTACAGTGCATGAAAAACCATAGACACTACATGAGATGGAAAGAAGTTAATGGTGTTTTTAGTGCCTCTCGTTGTTCATAAGGCAGAGACAGGTTTCATGTTGTGATAAGGTTGGGTGGTGAAAATATTGCCAATCAATGCTGGCTGAAACGAATAAAAGTTACAGTTGTCACATAAGTAACAGACGTTTCCAAAAGCCGTATTGAGCGACATACACCATGTTCAAAAATATTTTTGGTTCTGAATTTCACCGGGCTACCCTTTGAAAACTTCGCTCAAAAATTGAACACATGATGCCCTTTCTTTATCGTAGGCTTCTCAACTAGATACTCTGACTGATGTAGCACATATGCTTGTGGGTTGCCTGAATCCTCGGCTTGTTTCCTAGCGTTTGTCCAAACCACCTCATGTGGTATATAGTGAAGTAACTCTAACCTTCTTTCTGATATGTAGTCAATGCGGTGAACCAAAAAAGTGCAGTGTTTCTTAAGCAAAAGCGCCATTGTGAACAACAATGGCAAACTTGGATCTCGTTTAACCCAATAGTCGCCCAATAGTAGAACATCATGGCCTTACAGGACACATTCCTCATTTGAGAATTATTTAAGGTAGGCATTTGTAGACAGTTACGAAGAGGAATTAGTGCTCCATGTTGTTAGATTTCCAAGTGCTTCTTTAATTCTGTTCAGCATTGGAGCCGAGTCATTCACCTTGTTGAAACCCAGTCTGTTGAATTCCATGTGAGGAATGGAGCACCTTGAGCTAATCTGGTCTCCAAGAACAGTATTTTCCTTGGGCTCAACCAGAGTGTGATCTTTACAACCGCGCTGTCAAGACTGGTTCGAACACGCTTAGCCTGATTTTAGTCTATAAAGACCAAGTCATCGGAAATGTTTTTCATGACGTTCTCAAGAGTGGCTGCAAAGAGCTATTTATGAGATGACACCACTCTGAGAGCTTCTCTTCATATGCTAGGGGCGATTAAGTTGGAAAGTGAGGTGACTATGTTGGAAAAGGCGAAATGTTATTAACGAAGCTGTTAAACAGCTCAAATCGAGCGACATACTGCTTGGCTAGGATTTCCACTGTCGCTTTCTTTTTCACTGAGCCAGATCAAAAGTCTCGTTCTTATTGATGTAAGCAGGACACACTGCACCCTCCAATATCGTGAGTTCTGAAGGAGTTATTCCTTCACTACTAAGCCAAATCCAAATCAGATTGATCCGAGTGGGTTCTCAGCGGCTGTCGTCCTTGTGATGTATCTTTCTGTTGGACCGATTGGAATCCAGTAAAGTGGGACACCGCTCGAGTGAGGTGTCATATGCTGCTTTATACAGGATGGTTGCTGACTGATCGTACACTGGTAATATGTTTTGACAAACAAAGTCCGTCCTGCAACAGTTGGCATTGTCAAGTTTTTTTACCGTGATACGAAAACTGGAATGAGATAGAATAGGTGTGGAAGTTTATGGATTGTAATTACACTGTCGTTACTTCCCCGTTGACAAAGCCTTCATAGCATGAAGACAAGATGAAGGGAATGCTTCCTCATTTTGAGAGCGGGCTTAAAAAGATTGGTCTCCGATTGAAACTAAAGAAAACGCTATTCATGGAGCCCGAACGCGCTCCTGATACCACTTTAATGCCGCAGGAAAAAAGCCCAAGAACACTCCACCCAAGTTCACCTGGATCTCAACAGTAGGAAATTTAACAAGTGGAACGACTTTGCAGCAAAAGTGGGCAAAGGTAAAGAAGCAGTTTATAAGATTGACAGCATCATCAAAGATATGGTTGGGAATATAATTGTGCACATGTTGACCCCCAAGAATTCTCAAAAAGGGAATATTGCTAGTCAGTTTATGATAAATTGCCAATGACTAGGGTTAAATGAGTTCCCCAAGGCGATAATGTTGCTCTCATTGGCGCATGGTCTCAATGGACAGGTTGACCGTTCGTGTTCCATCGGATTCACTAAATATCACATGATTTTCAGAGTTCCACTCTAAGAAATTAGCTGAGAAACCTGGTGAGCAACACATAACTACGTCCACATGAGACAACTACCTTGCCGAGCAGCATAGGAGATGAAAAAACGTCATGTTTTCAATTTTTTTTCCACATAGAAATGAAGCTTGTGAGTGACTGGAATCATGGAACTATTGGAGATTTTCATATTAGAATCAAGGAGAGGAATAAACACGATGGTTCGCGCTTAATATAGCCTTTGAAAAGATTTGTTTCCTAGCACCTTTAATTTGAAACTTTCATTCATTTCTGTCCATATTATTCCTTACAATTTTCACCAGCCTACAGTATCGCAGCATAAAACTTGTTTCTATTCTATGAATAACAACAGGTGCAGAAAAGTTCGCTGCTATATTTCAAATCTTGCGTTGTTTTCGTATTTTCCATGCGATATAACTTCACTGTTGGGGAAATTCCTGTTCGTCAAACGGTGATTGCTGATAGCGCCCGTAGGTCAATAAAACGGCTGAGAGAAAGACGAAGCGCAGGATTCGGATGGTATGGTGGTGAACACGCTATCCCCCGAAAAGGATAATAGCACGTTCGGTCCCCATCGCAGACACTAGCGTGTCAGAGTTTTGCAGAAATCTCAATACCATCATGTTTATACAACCACAACGTTGCTGAGATATTTGCAAAACTCTGGACCGTAGGTGTCTATGGTGGGGAACGAACGCGCTATTGTCCTTTCGAACCCACCATAGACACCTGCGGTCCAGAGTTTTGCAAATATCTCAGCAACGTTGTGGTTGTATTTCGCTTAGTACCCTGCCGCGAAATTATAGTAGGCAGAAAATAAAAAGGTATAACATCATGTTTATAGTTCACTTAATACCCTGCCATTAAAAAAGAGTAGGCAGTAAATGAAAGTAGCGATGTCCTTCATTGTTTCTCTCATCTTCAATTTGAAGACAAGGACGACTACATTCAGCAGCCTGTAATTTTACAGCTGACTCCGATTTATGTTGATTTGTAAGCTTTCTTGGTAGTGATTCACACGTACTTCTGCAATGAGTTAGGCGTACGTTCAATCAGTTATCAATTTTCTTAGATTGCAGGACTCTACAAAGCCTAACCCGAATGGCGCTCGTGCATAAACAGTGAAATATGAGGAACAGCTAAATGTCTTTCAGTCCCGTGATGAACACCAATCACTGAAAATCAGCAGAAACCAGAAAAAAAAATTTGCTGCTCGTCATTGTCATGAAGAAATACCTGCGTATGCCCACTTTCCTAGTTTCAGTGAGACTGACAATAACAGCATTCTGAAGTATGTGCCATTTTGTCATGTGAAGTTGTTGAGAGGAAAAATGGTCGGACTTGATTCTTCTTCTATCAAGGGACGCCATTTTTTCCATCTCTATATAAATCACATAAGGATATTCCATACTTGACGTTATTTCAAGACACCATTCTTTAAAGAGTAGACGCAAGTGTCTCCAAATTGTATGGGAACTAGCCGGTCTCTCGCCATCACTAACCCTTCCTCATTGGTGAATAAATACTTCTGATAATGATCTTATCGTGGCCATTTTCAGTAACTCACTAAGTCATCAGAATTAAGACAGCTGTAGATAGAGATAGCTGAGAGACAGGCGAAACGAAGGACTCCATGGTGTGGTGGTGAACGCGTTACTCCCCGGAAAGGACAATAGCGCGTTCGTTCCCTACCGCAGACATCTGCGGTATGGAGTTTTGCAAATATCTCAATAGTCTTGTGGTTAGAAGTTAGAATTAGAAGAAGGAATGCACGAAGGCGCATTGTTATACTCTCAGTACAACTCACACACCTTTGAAATGCTGACAACACCATGCGACGTGATGGACGAATTTTCTTTTACCACACGCAAGTGGTTGATGGGCTCCAAAATTATCATAGTACAAGCAAAAGATCATATCGGATGGGTAGAATTAAGAGAGGCACAAAAAAGATTTGAAGAAAGGTAGGAGTAGAACGACAATTTCAAGAAACCAGTGCGCCCTGCTTTATACGCAGGCACACAGAGTGTACATCTTGATTTCAATGCGCATTGCGGTTGCGCTCCAATAGCACGCAGTCGTGAAAGCGGTATTGCTCACCACATAATCACCATCTTTTTGTTGATTGTTGAATTAACAGAACGATTTGCAGTCGCATACAATGTTTGGAGGAAGGCTTCTCGAATTGCTCGAAATCTAGACACTGTTATCGTCACCGATTATACTTTCATAGAGGATAAGATTATCTCTGCGGAACGTAGCCTACATATATGAGAAAACGGACAAAACGCATTAGATTGAATGCATTCTGTTCTCACTAGTTTTCAGCACATAGATTTCTTTTGCTAGTCATTTTGTGTCCACTCCTCAACTATGCCACCGTACACTGTACTGTCTTGTCCCAGGAAAGTTATGTTCAATACTTAATGATTTAAATTAAAAAAAACCGTCTTTGCACAAGTTGTTTTTCTTTCCTAGTACAGTGCTTGCTACTGGCACACCGGTATTTGTGCTGTACAATACAAGTAGAAATACATCAATCAGATTCCGTGGTTTTTATTTCAGACGTGTAAAAGAAACTGTTTCTAATCAGCACAGAGAGAGCACGAAAGTACAATGAAAGACACGTATTGAATTTAGGGCACCTCGCAGTGACAAAATTTTCATTTTCGCAAATGTGTTATTCTTAATATTGTAACCAAGATATATCAGGAAGATTAACGGTTCGCTTGCAACAAATGTCGGGTGGATAAAGGGCGCCAGACGAACGGTCTATCAGTTGACTCTCTATGAGCAGGAGAGAATTTTTTCTTTCGATCGGATTTTAAAACATGGTTTTAAGGCGGTAATCTATTGTCTGTTTTTGTTTCTTGGCAATTATTTTTTCGCTTCTTCATTTCGAGTCTTTTAAGGAACGGTACTTTTAATGCCGAAAATGTTTTTGTGGTGCCCCATAAACAAAAATCAACGGGTGCGTTTAGCGCAACGGTTAGAAACGCTCTGCATACACATGGGATTGATCCCGTTTACCAGGTTCACCAAGTCTTCCATTCCTCCGTGATCAGAAAATTGGCACCAGGCGAGAGGTTAACAACACTGACTCGACAGGTCACCGTAGATGATGTTTAGCCAGATATACGTAGAATCACTTCAAAAAAATCTTAATAAAGTCGAATGCACGGGGAATCCCTCAGGGAGATCAATTCCGAGAGTTTTTCTTTTCTCATAAACAAAAATAGATTCAAAATTCATTTCACTTCATTTCTACATGATTCTTCTCTTCATTTTCATACGTTCACTCAGTTCTCGTTAATCATACAGTTAAACGATTCGACACCTATAAGAATAAGTGAATGTTACCGATATGGATTAACTTAACAACAACTTAGTATTCCTCGAAAAATGGGAAATGAGGATTTTGAGAATCGCGAGCGCTGAGGTCGACGATACGCCATCCGCGATCGAGCCCGTCGATCTCCTTCATTTCGGCTTCGGTCAGCTGGAAGTCGAACACAGCCGAGTTCTCTTTGATTCGCTCTAGAAGATGCAATCTTACGTCAAACCAGCACCAAATAAAATCAGCTGCAAAACTTAAACCTAAGAAATCACTCACATCTGCGATAATTGAATGTTACCGTTCAAATCTGTATTATTGTTTAAATCAGATTTCTAAGAGTTCCTAAATTCTTCCATACTTACCTGCTTTGCCAACGAGGTGATTTCGGGTATCTTACAAAATAGAAATTTGGGAGTTTCAAAAAAATCAGCGTTATCGTTCAAATGGTTGGCGGCGCCACTGCGACACACACGTGGAATCGATCCCATCCTGCGCTCCTGGCCCACCAAGCCTTCCACCTCTCCGGGGTCGACAAATTGGTACGAGACTTGTCTGGCAGGATAACAGCACTTGACTCTATACATCAACAGGGCACCACAAGTCATTGTAAAGACGAGATATGCATTCAGTCACGACCAACGATGCTTAATGAAGTCGAATGCATGACACAACCCTTGATCAACGCCGAGAGCTTTGTCCTTTTATGATTATCGTTCAAATTCCACGACACATGAGACACTATGTACCAATAAAAAAATAAACGATTTCGGTTTTAGGTTTTTACATTTTCTTCCGGTCGAGAACATTCCAAAAACCTAAAGATAAGTAAGAATACCCTCAAAAGATTGCTTCTGATAACTAATTTACCATCGAAAACATGCCGTGAAATGGTAAGTCTTCGGAAATGGAACGCAGTTTTTATTGCTTGCAAACACTTAAAAAAATATGTTCAAATTTTCTCGTTACATCTCCAAGAAACCATGATATCGTATCGCTCAAGTGTTGTTTCTTCAAGGATTATTAAACGGTTGGCACAATGGTTTTCTCTGGAGTATTAGGAGCATTGACGAACTTCCGATAATCCCCGAATTCCCACTCTAGGTGAGTCACAGACGACTCATACGGACCTGTATGTCTCTATCAACGGAGTAAACAGCTTTAAGATTATTGCAAAATTGTTTGAAAACCAAAAAAGTAGAAGAGTTCCTCACCTTCTGACGTTGATTTCGGAATGACAATTATGTTCTGCTGTACAGCCCAACGAAGGGAAACCTGAGCTGGTGTCTGAAAATCATCACTGGCAGAAAATGACCACAATTTCATACTCGAAAAAGGTCGTGGCAGTTGTTGTCGCAAAAATAAAAATAGGAAAGAGTAGCCTTTGGATAACCTTAATTTTACTATCTACAGTAAATAAAGATTTTACAAAACATTTCTAACTTTTCTCTCAACATTCCTCCTTCTGTAGCCATAGATGAAAATATTCGAATTATTAACTTTTGAAGTAAGTTGTAAGGAAAGCACAATATGTATAAGGCCGTACCTTTCCATGTGCCGCAGCGATTCTCGTCACAACGGGGTCGGTTAGAATATTAGGATCACCAGGTTTACGAAAATATGCTGAGCCAGGATTGCCAAGAGAACTAAATGCGCCCAAATGAACACAATTGCAAATTAATTGATGACGATCCTCTCAAGTCAGTTCTTAGCACTTTACCAAGATAAATTATGACTGTTGTGAATAAACGAAATAATGGGAATGGATATTTCTAAATTAGAACAAAAATTCTCAGTATATCACTGGCGTGGAGATAGCAGTGGCAGTGGTGCTTATGATGTGCCACACGCCCAAAGCCCTGACTGGATCTTACGCCGGCCACCTTCTCCCAGAGCGCTTAGGAAATTGGTACTGGCCCTGTCTGGGATCGACATGCTCCATCAAATTCACAACAGATAGCGACTCCCTGTGATGAAGGTCTGGGAATGCCCTGGCACGACCATTATTACAACAGGCATATTCATAACCACCATTTTACGCCGTTCGCAAAGAGGACCAAAAATCATTAGGCATTATTCGAGACAATACACAAAGCTTAGACCTTCGCGAACAAGGGAAGCAAGGAAAAAATGTTGGTATCTGCACAACATATAATGTCGCAATAGTGTTAAAAACTTGCTATTATTATTAGTGAATTGATATATCGCCTAAAATTCTACAAATGAGAGAAATCATAGAAAAAATCGCAACAAAGTAAACCTGCCTCCATTCTGTAACAGTCGGGGATTATCGGTGAAGAAGATCTAGGATCCTTCTCAAGTGACTTCATCGCCTCTTCAATGGGAGGGAAAAAACTCTTAGCTGGTAACCCACTAGTAGAACGGGGACTGGATGAGACCACACATTGTTATGTCAATGTTCGACTGTTTATAAACGCGTAAATGATAGAACGCTACACTTGGTGGTGAAGGGCACGTAGCGCAATGTTAGAAGGTGCACTTCAACATGTGGACCTGTGCTGTGGATAAATGGATGGACCTGTGCTCAACGGAATGTGAGAAACCCAATGCAACATTTATTACTTCAGATGGTCGTTAAGGACGAACCTACAAGCACGGTTGCAACGAATTCACAAGTAGCTTACGAATACGGATAAGAATCCCCCTATCGGGCTCAGTCAATACTGCGAATGTAATTCTGTGCACCAATGATTGCTGACTACTAATGAACTCAGAGAAATTACTTTTTAGTGAAATCGCTTTCTGTAGGTCTAGGTGCAACACACACGTCGACTTAAGTGCTATAATAACTAGATAAAAATAGAGTTCAAAATTGGTAGCAACGACAAGATTTCATAGAAGAATTTTAAGCGCAATATTTAGGTCTACCTGTAGGCCGTTACTGCAATTCCGTTCTGCTTGCAAAACTCTCGCAAGTTCTTCTGTTGCAGATACGGATGAAGCTCAACCTAAATAATACCAAACTGCTTTCTATAGGGACTTTACCATTACGTAGAGTCCACTGGCCAAATATAGGCACAGAAAAGCGAGCCGATTGTAAGCGTTTATTTTGTTTATCGGTCTCCAAAGTGTCACAAACAATGTGGCATAGTTATTTTTGTAATGAAGGATCACTTTCTATTGTTTCAATAAAGACTTATCTCGCTACACTTCCCACCACAGCTGCCATACTATTTCATCGTGGCTATCGAGTGTTTCTGGATGCCAAACTGTGATATAGAGTAAGGGTTCATACCTAGCTGAGTTTTCCAAGCCGACAACGATTTGCATATTTCTACCATGTGCAGGCCCAGTTAAGGTTAAAGCGGTGCCATGAATCATTGCATTCCCATCAACAACACATGGCCACTAGCTCCTGACTATGGCAACTTTAGCAAAGGTTTCGATGCTAAAGGAAAAAGTCTTGCCAAACCGGTAAATTTCCGGTCAAATGGACATGGTCAAGTGAAGCTTGGTGTTTCCAGAGCTCTGGAGTATAGATAACAAATAGAATTCAACCGAATTATGAGTTCTATCCTAACGCAGTCAGAACCTGTAGAACAGCCGGTTTGATAGTGCTGTTGGCGATTAACCGCTCGATCTGTTTGTGATTGAAATTCGAGATGCCAATATTTCGAATCTGTAAACACACAATTTACAAACTTTCTTCGCAAGGTATTCTCCCTCAAAAGATCCCTCAAAAAAGACTTTTGCTTGTACCGTTGCGCCAATTATAAATACACGCCATCTATCCTCTATCGTAACGAGTTTTGCTTTTTAGTGCTAGTAGAACTCATTCCTACCTCAAAAAACAGATTGAACTTTACTCTGTGAATGGTTTTTAGTTTAAAAAAATCATTATTAACATTAACTGTTTTTATTTACTACCTATTCTTTTTAACGGCAGGGTATTTTTGCGAAATATAACTATTATAATGCTGAGATATTTGCAAAACTCCAGAACGCAGGTGCTTGCGGTGGGGAACGAACGCGCTATCGTCCTTTCCAGGAAGTAACGAGTTCACCAACATACCACGCGCGTACTTCGTTTCGCCTGTCTCTCAGCTAGTTCTATCGATATATATTATATTTCGCAAAAATACCCCGCCGTTAAAAACATTAGGCAGTAAATAAAAATGGTTAAGGTTGTAACTGGGTTCAATGCCGATTTGGGCTCCCCAGATCACTCCGTTGACGGGTGATTGCTGATGGCGAAAGATCAATAGAACTAGCTGAGAGACAGACAAAACGAAGGACCCGCATGGTGTGGCTACTCCCCGGAAAGGACAATAGCGCGTTCTTTCCCCACCGCAAGCACCTGCGGTCCGGAGTTTTGCAAATGTCTCGGCATTATAATAATTATTAACATTATTACTGCTGTTATTGTAATTGCTAGGTCTCACCGTAATCTCCTACGTATTTCACCTACCTTTCTCTCTTTGACAAAATCTTCCAGGACAGTCCAAGTTGTCACGTAATCTTCACTTGAGTGTTTCAGCTTGTCACTGCCCGGTCTCTAAAAAGCCCATTCCAATTCCAAGACTCCAAGGCTCCAGTATTTTTACTGGATGAACCTGTCAAACCAATGAAATGCCATTCAGATAAAAATTGTGTTAAGACCACATATTTGCTGAGGTGGGCAATCTAGATATACAACAAGACAAATTTATTCAACAGAAAACTTCGGAGAATTACGCGGAATCTCCAGGAATTAGTGAGCGGACTGACTATCAGGAAAGCAATTTATCTCGAAGATGAAAAAAAACTTTTCTAACCAACAACTAATATTATTAGTATCATAAGTTGAAGAAGTGGAATAAACGCAAACCTTTGGAAATGGATCGCCGCCTTCCTCATAGGCGACTGGCCAGTGAATAAGCATTAAGTCAATATACGTCAATTGTAACTGATCAAGGATCTCCACTACGTGCTTCTAAAATCAGGATGATTTCAAACAGAGAGAAGCTTTGGATTAAAACATCCATTTGTACGAGTTTTGTCGAAGTCGTAAAGAATGGATGAGGATTGTGATAAGTGGTAAAAACCGCCAAAGTCAGGAAAATCAGCAGCTTTTCTGAAAAACGGAAGATTTCTGCATTTCGCAAACAAAAAGCGTTTACTCTCACAAAAGTGCTTTAGAAATTCAACGCCAGTTAACACTAAAGTAGAAGAAAAGGCTTGAAGCGAAGGGAAAACTCAAATGCATACCTTACAAGCGGGAGCTGAGTGGAAGGTGTTCCACACCTTCGACGTTATGAAGATGTTTTCCCTCTGTAATTATTGCATCTGAACAATAGTTACCAATCCAAAATACTTGATTCAGATCTGTTTAGAACCAGAATGTAATTAAATATGTTTGTACTGCAGCATGTTCGAAAAACAGAGCTACAGACACATGCTAGTCATGCGTATTAATTGCTGTCGTAGCACGATCGATACGCACAGTGTGCACTGCGCTAGTAAATATGGTTCAGCCTAGACTGGATATCTCATTATACAACCACAACGTTGCTGAGATATTTGCAAAAGTCTGGACCGCAGGTGTCTATGGTGGGGAACGAACGCGCTGTTGTCCTTTCCGGGTAGTAACGCGTTCACCACCACACCATGCGGGTCCTTCGTTTCGCCTGTCTCTCAGCTATTTCTATCGATCTTTGCCACAGCAATCACCCGTCAGCGGGATTGATCTGGGGCGCCCAAATCGGCGTAGAACCCAATTATAGTAGGCAAAAAATAAGAAAGGTATAACATTATTTCATTATATTTTGTTAAATTGTGCTTCAAAGGACACGGATTTTCTTATCTATCCTAATCTACTCTAACGTATCCTAGCAAACAAATCATTCTTCATAGATGAGAATGGCAGAGGACAATCTGATTTCTGTGGAGCAATTGGGAGTGCTCGCTACTATGAGAATGTTTGTATGGTACTGAAAATGGCAATGAGTACTGAATATTAATGATAATGGAGGAAAAGGTAAAGATCTCGATGCTCATCAATCCCTGACTGATGCGCCATTTGCCATATGTATATGACTTCCTTAACTGTATTCGGGCGTGTGTGGCGCAGTGCTCTGAGGCGCCTTGTAACACACATGGGATCGATCCTAGCTCCTTTCTCCGCCAAGCCTTCCAGCACGCCGGAGTGGCTAAAGTGGTACCAGATTTGTTTGGAAGGATAGCAGCACAGCGATGATACATCGTTGGGCCAGTGCGAGTCATTGTAAAGGCCAGATATGCATTCAATCACCTCCAAGCGATGCTTAATGAAGTCGATTGCAAGGTGCATCCCCCAGGGTTTGATCAACTCCGAGAGCTTGATCATTCAATCTTTAAACAACTTTAAAGGTTATTGAATTCATATTTTGCCCATGAAATGACTCGTGGCGGCCTACCGATGTATCCAGTTAATGCTGCTGTCCTCTCAGGTAAGTCTGGTATCACTTTGCCGACTCCGGAGGGATGGAAGGCTTGGTAAGCCTGGGGTTTGAGATTGATCCCTTGTGTAACACGTCTATACTAATAATAATAATAATAATAATAATAATAATAATAATAATAATAATAATAATAATAATAATAGCAATATTAGCTATTTACTTTGTGGCCGGATGAAAATAACTGTTTGAGACTGTTTCCGATCTCCACCTGATTATTATACAACCATGCACAATCGATATGAGTATAGCCGGTATTAACAGCGACTTCGACAGCTTTTCCCATCTAAAACAAAACCTCATTGGTAGAAATCCTACATGAAGTTTTTAATCTCATAGCATTTTATTAGTTCGATAGGTATTTTCAATGAAAAAGATCAAACAGCAGGCTTTCTTCATGCCCTGATCGAATTAGGTGTGCGCAGTCTTTGCCGTGTATAGCAGTTCATAATGGCAATTGATGCACATATTCTTCAATACTTTTTAGAAAATTTTAAAATGGTGGTGATTCACAAAAATCTTGAAAGATGAAATGTTTTATTATGTTAGGTTTAGTTTAAAAAGAACTTAGCAGACGAACCATTACAGTTCGAACGATTTTCAGCTAATTTCAACGAAAAGTTGTTAGAACACAGGCGCGAAAAACTCTCGAGGCACTCTGAATTAATTCCAGAAATCCGAAAATGAACCGCAGGGAAGAATGCCTCATCATCACGCGTGATATTGGGCAGTATATAAAACTGCTTTTCTGATGTGAGGGGCACATTATACTTCCACGTGATTTCTGTGCGGTTGGTCTCTGCGTGACATACTTAGTGGAAACCTCATAGGAAGCGGTGAGTGTGCAAAACTGTGTTCAAAGTGATTGAAATCTTGGTTTAGAATTTCTTTGTTTGGTTATGGAGGCGTCTGGCCGAGTAGATTGCTATCAACTTGACCTTTCCAGGCTCTGAGGAAGGCGAAATCCTCCGAAACGTCAGCTTATTCGTGAATAAAGAATAATAACACCTCACGTTTGCTCAACAAAAATACGAAGAAAATTTGTTAGCTAAATGCATGTATTAGCGCAGCTCCACCGTAACACCTTCCCGGTTAATTAAGCCCAGACAAACAGCTTACAAATAATGGTCGAAATTATTAAAAGCTGAACAAAAACGACAATCTAAGAAGAGAAAACGGAATCGAAAGCGAATATTCTGAGCCGACCTCTCCAGGATTACTCCGCCTTGTTCCAAGACCCAACAACGGCATTTCGTAGCCCGACGAAAGTTTTACCATCGGCACCACCATTCTCTGAATTGCTCTTGTCTAAGATTTAAGAAAATTTTGCATGTGGGGTTAAATGACACGAATAGACCAATCAAAATTCTCAAGACCGACTTTCTGTTAATTCGGCATTGATTGATAATTCGATGTTTTTCTTCAATGAGCAGACACGAGGTTGATAATGAACAAAACGAAAACTAAACAACGAATTGGTCAAAATGGCAACCGCAGCAGATTTAAGACCAGCAGACATTTAGTAAGATAGAAGTACCAACATTTCCCGTCTTATTCTTACTTATCAAGACCCATAAGTCAATATCCGCTGATGATCTGGCGTCTAGCGACCCCTCCACCTTTAAAGTTAGACCCGTCATCAGTTGTGTAGACGGGCCTACGGATAGAATTGCTTGGTTCATAAATCTAATTCTCAACCAGTTCCTTAAGCAAATACCAGCCCATCTCACGAACATCCAAATGTTCCTAGATCGTCTGCGTTTCCAAAAGCGTGTACGTTATGGAGTCGTTCGACGTTAGCACCCTTTACACTAACGACTCTGTAATGCAAGCCATGTGCGAGCTTCTTGAGCAACACGAAAGAGCAATTAACATGTATGGCTTTTCGTTTCAGCAGCTTATGACCCTCTTAAAGGTCTGTTTAAACTGCTCGATCTTCAGATGGCCCGGGAAATATTACGCGCAAATTAGAGGGTTGGCAATGGGACAGCGACTGGTACCAACCCTTGCCGTTACCTTTATGTCTAAAGTAGAAGCACCAGTAACCGATCTCAGGCCATTACTCTACTGTAGTTATATAGATGATTATCTTGTTATCTGCTTCACACAACAGGAAATTGACAAATTCTTTGAGTTATTGAACGAACAGACAGAGTACATAAAATTCACCCGTGAGAAACCGAAAGAAAACTGGCTTCCATTTCTAAACGTTCAAATTAACCTATCCGAAAACGGCTACATCACAAAATGGTATCGAAATCCAAGCAGTAAGAACATAATGGTTCATTACCTCTCCTCCCATCCCTCACACACTAAAAGGGCGTTTATAAGAAATATGCTTCGAACTGCTGCCAGCGTGTGTACAGGTAGAGATTAGAGGGAAGAATCCTCGAAACTGCCGCGCCAAATAGTGATTTCAAATCGTTATGAAACTATAGCTTCCCGGCATAGGCATAGGGGAAAAACCACGCCCCGGAACGATAATTCTAGCGATAACAAGGCTCCATTCCTTTTTCCCTTTATTTCAAGCGAAATAAGTGCAACAATAAAACGTTGCTTGACAAGGGCTGGTCCAGAGAATTCCATAAGAATGAAAGAAATACCATCGGATATTGTAAGACACCAGCTAATTCGCAACCGCCTATATGACCATCTATGTATAACGAAAAACTACATAATTTGCCTTATCGGTAGAGACGGTGATTGCTTGAGTTCGGCTACAGTCTATCTGATCTCTTGTAAAACGTGCGGGGACGAATGCGTTGGCGAAACGGGTATACCGCTCTGCGTCCGCATAAAAGAACACCTAGTCGGTAAATCTAGACTAAAACCAAACACTCCGCTAGAGCGCATAGGATGCAGGAACACAACGGAGAAGATTTTGAAGTAGGAGTCACTATCCTCACGCACGAATCAGAAGCATCAGCGCGCAAAACTCTTGAAGCGTTTTGGATCAATTCCGAAAATTCAAAAATGAACTGCAAGGAGGAGTGCCTTGTCATCACGCGTGGCCTAGCGCCATATCTCAGACTGATCCAATGACGTGACGCAGGCACAGTCCTCGCCGATGTATTACTCTGTGCGGCTGCTATCCACCAACAAACTGAAATACAACGAATAAAGGGTAGGTGTTTAAATAAAGCTGTTTCCTATGCGAATGCAAATTTATTTGTTGTTTTAACTGCTAGGATTATCAAAGCGTTTGGCTGAGTAAATCGCATCTCAATTTGACCTCTCCAGACTCTGAAGAAGGCGAAACCGCCGAAACGTCAGCTATTGTATCCTGATAAATTCTATAAAACTAACCACAGACAATTAGAAGAACACAGCGTTTTTGAACATCTTGACATAAAGTAAAATGCAAAAACTTTTCCCATCTAAATTATTCCAGTGCATACACCAGGTCACAAAACGCGACCTGAAGTCACCGCGCGTCAAGAGACACGCTATAAAAATAGTGCTTATCGATTGTGCAGGGGCACGCTAGTGTTATGGACTGCCTTCTTGAAAGCGGCTAACAAACTCCTTTGTTGTTATAAAAATAAAAGAAGAATGCCAAACTGTAGATGGAATACTGCATTTTTAAAATGTGGTCGGCTACGTCTCCACGTTTGATGGAAAAAAAGAAAAGATAAAATGAGAATTCCACGAGCAGAGATATCTTGATGAAGACGCACGGTTGACATGATTGCAGCTTGTAGAGATAAAAACGGAAACACGGCTAACGCCACATAAACTTTATTTCACGAGTAGCAACACCAACAGCACCCTGTCTCTTCCTCGCCCACAGCAAAACGATTTTCATCTCGCACGAACGAAGCGTATCTCACAAACATCGTTCTCTTGAACGCCGTCAATTTACAAGCCTTCTTTTATCGCGAGCGAAAATTAAACATTCTATGAATAGATATAATATCGGCAATTCAGCTCCTTTAGCTTGCGTTACCAAACAGTTATGTGAGTGTCTCACCTTACACATACTAAATCTCGTTTAATTTTTTTTTGAAGTACAAAATTTGGTTTGCTTTTTCATGGAGTTCTTAAATTGAAAACTCTTATTGAAAGAACGAGTTTATGGAGTGCTTAAGCTGCCAGGGCGAACAATCGAGCAGGGTGATTCATTCATTACGGAAACCAACTCGTACGTGTACCTTGGCTATTTACCGAACATGAAGAACAACACGAAGCAGAAACTATTCTAAAGAAGGAAAGGAGCATGAAGCGCCTTCTTCTCTCTAAGTAATCACAGACCAGCTAATGGATCCAAAATTACGTATTCAGCTTTTCGATTCAACAGCGCTGTCAGCACTCTGTTATACAGCAATAATGTGAGCAATCCATGTTAAGAATTCTACGAGCCATCTACAGGCGAGTTGAACGACATCTTCCGAAATATAACCGACACAATCAACATCTGGCCGAAATGCTCAGGTCAGAGCCTCCAAACTTATCCCATCTTTGGGGTCCAGGGGAACATACATCAGCAACGAATCTCAGATGGGCCAGTCATATAATGAGAAGAACGGACGACAGATGGATGAAAAGCACAGTAGATTTGTCTCGAAGAGAATGCAAATGCTTTCTTGGAAGACCGCCGAAACCATGGGCTGACGTCTTTAGAGCTAAGGTCAACCATCTGCATTCGCAGATGGAAACGATTTTAGGAATTCGGAATGGGCCTCGCAGTCGTCACCGTGCTCAAGTCAGAACACCACCATATCCGACGATTTCGCTAGAATAAAAGAAGAAACGAAGAAGCGTTGGACTCGCTCTACTAGCAGAGACGAATCATCCATATGTACGAAAAAGTAGGTATAGATGCGTAAACTATTACCACTTCATTGATTCCTTGTATTTCCAATCCACGGAGTACACAAAATCCACATTTAGTATTCAACCTAATGCGTTGGAAAAACTCGACGTTAATGGATTGAACAACCGGTGGAAACAATTAACACTGCACAGTAGACCGTAGTCTTACAAGACGGCTTCATTTTCACTATATGCTCCTTTTCCGAATTTGCTTATTTTGATATTGATTCCTGTTCCTAATCTGGAGTTGAACTCTTCCAATAACGAATTTATAAAAGAATTTCGCTTGTGGATTACTTCGTTCAACTGTACTAGTTGGTAAGTAACAGTTGATAATGCCAACTTTTCCTTCCCGCGCAAGATGGAGAAGAAGAATGGTTAACCGCAGTGGCATGATTTCGTATGAAATTAGGTGTGAAATAGGTGGCGTAGTAAAAAGACAACGCCTCGAAAATTTCCCTTCACGAATAACAAGGGTTCTATTATCTAATCGGGATATGACGGCCCTCTTTCTCGCTCTCCACCTCTTGTAGTGCCGACTCACGGAACTTGATGGGATCAGCCTCTAGAACAGCTGTAAAAGTCGGTATCTGAAGAGACTCTTCCAACATTATAGGTGCGCAGCAAAAAGCAGTCTCCATAACGTGTTGTGGGTATTCTCGTTTTGTCCGTTAGCAATGACGTCTGTGAAACCAAGGATTTGATAGACTCTCACAGGTTGTTCCACCGCCTGACGTCGTAGATGGTACCACCCAGTGAACGGGTACTGGGGCTGGAAATTTGCTAGTTTGGTCATTGCGGTCTCGAGGTCAGCTTAGTCTACGGCTTCTTCAGATCGTCGCAACCACAGGCAGTCATTGACGTGGTGGATAAGAGCGAGATTTGTCATCATGTGACAAGCTTGACACAAGACGGTAGTGATTCCTGGTATAGGTTTACTCTTAGCTGGGCTTCCAGATGAAAACGGCGCAGTTCTTCTCAGTTTGGGATTCCCAGCTGCGTGGTGAAACCTTCGCTGTATATTGTCACTCAACATCTAGGAACATCTCTCTGCAACGATGAGGGGCTAAACCGTTGGAAGGAGACGTTCCTATGATATTAATGATAAAAACTCCAACATTCATTAAAACTTTCTAACAGGTTAAATCGCCATCGTTAATAATTTCTAGAGTGTGGCTTAGCATTGCGAAATGTTTGTAAACAGTAATCAAACCAGCAGCAAAAGAAATACACTACTGATTTTTCCAAAATGGAAGGATCAAGAAATCTATAACGAGGCCAATCCATGACATTACGGAGCAATCGCTTCAAAATAAAACAAAAAAAGAAAGAAAGCTGTTCTTGAAGATTCTTCTCGGAGAAAGAACAAGTAACCGTTCGGTGATGTGATGGACGAAAATCAAAGGCGTGAGAGGCGACGAGTTTTATTTCCAGTGTCAAGGCCAATGCTGTCGAAGTTTATCTTGTTTAAAAATTTC